GAAGGAGGTTGATCCAGATGATGAGTATGATGATGGCATCGATATGCAGGATGATTTAGAGGATGCTCACATGCATTCATCTGATGGTGGGAGGAAGCTTGGTGGTGGCAGCCATGAGAGTGCTGAGAAGAAGGACGAGGTCGCCACTGAGAGGCACACAGAAGCAGGTGGAGGGATCGCTGATAGTCATGATATTAGTAGCCCAGACAAAAAGAAGGTTTCAGGTACTGGAGATAAGAAGCATGTGTCCAAGAAGAAACCGAAACGTAAGAAGTCTGGTAAGTTGTTTGCCTCTTTGGAGTTGCTTGCAATTTGAAAATTTTGAATCCTTATGTAACAGTTTAACTTCTTAGACATTTTGATTCCAGTGAGGCAGTAGCTTGGGATAACTCAAAAACTCTGCAATTTTTTCGTTTTTGCTCTACTATTGTTCTGTAGCTAATTGGTAATTTTGTGTTGTAAATGAGGTTAAAATTTTGTTTCATACTTGATTTTAGCTGTACTGACTCATAAGATCATTATTTTGTTTAGAAATACAAATTCTTCTTTTATGAATCCTCTAAGAGGTGCTGCGGCACCTAGTAATTACAAGCATTTTAGAGCCTGAACAACATGCCTATTGTACCTGGTGAGGATGTGTCTTGCAACTCGAATAGATGACTTGAATATTGGACCCCTGGTGTTGGACTGCCAACTAGTATTATGGCGTCACAACATGTTCATGATTTGCTCTTGGATTTGGAACCCAATAACTGCATGAAAACTTTTTTCTTTCAATTAAGAAGGATAGAACTGACCTAGTTTATAATGGAAACCAGGCCTGATTCTCTAAACCTCTGCAGCTCCCGATTCTCTAGCTAACTATTTACATGCATGGGACTGCTGTTATGTGAGCATGTTTGCAGCACGGCAATGTCATGATGCTTTTGCCTTAATATAGTTCATGCAAGTCGATTTGAAATCATTAATCGTGAGCTTCATTTTGAGGTGTATGAATATGATTTCAACATTTGATAAGGGAAATAATCAGTTCCTTCAATTACAAAAGACAGTTGCCTTTGACATCGTCATAGTCTTGAAAATGTACTTTTCACATATATGAAGTATATATGCATATAGGACATTATGAAACTACTTTTCAACACAAATCTACAAGTTCAACATTAATTTGTAAAAAGATGTTGATGGTCAAGCTTTGGATAGTTTGATTGCCAGTGACTTAAAACTTCACTTTTTGTCACACGAGCGAGTAGCATATTTTTTTTAGATGGTTGTCTAATAAGTTGGGATAAATTTAACAGGTTCAACTTGTGAAATGAAGTTTCTCAACTCAACTGCTCAACTTGTGGAGCCTGCGAGAAATGAGAATTTCGCTAGTTTTAATTTGGAGTATGTAGAAATTGAAGAAAAACCTGTTGGATCAGAATATTGGGAACCGAGATTTGCCGGCCACCAAAGTCTGCAAGAAAGAGAGGAGTCATACAAAGCCCATGACCAACAGTTGAAATGTGCTTTTGTTAAGGGTCCAAATGGTACAAGCACTGGTTTTGATTTATCTGATGATGACCGAAAGTACATGAGTAAATGCCACATTGCTGTATCATCCTGCATCTTTGGAAATTCTGATCGACTGAGGACCCCATTTGGCAAAACGGTATGATATTTTCCTGGATGCTAAATTCTTGACTGAATTTGTTATGCTTCCTGTGTCCTGCTTACATTGCATTCGGCAGCTTATATTGATTTTTTCTAGGTTCCGTAGTATATTTTGGCAGGTCAAATGATCATCATTTTGCTATGTATTGTCTCATATATCCTAGTTCATTCACTTTACAGTGAACTTCTATTGCTTTCCATTTTCAGAGGAACACATAAGAAACGTGCGCTAGAGATACTAGGGCTGCGAAATGCAACTTTTCTTATAATACTGTGCTGATTATATCTGTCATTAAGTCTTTTAATATGGATGTATAATACACTAACAACATCCTTTTGCATTTTTTTTACCATAACCACATTCTCTAATACTATGTACTAAGTTAAATAGCTGTTGATCTTTCCTTTGCATCGTTCCAATGTTGCCATAAATTTTAAGATGCTTCTGAAGTTGCTGTTTGAGGATTTATTTCATGACATGTAGATCCTGTAACATCTCTTAGAAATGTCTTTCTTATTACACTTCACAGATTACAAGCCTCTCAAAGAAGACAGTTTGCTTTGCTATGTTTTTGGATGAAGTGACATTGCAAACATTAGAATCTGAAGGCCAGAAAATGGACAGCATGGGTTTCATTGGTATTTGGAAGATCATATTGATTAAGAATATGCCGTATAATGACATGCGTAGAGTGGGGAAAATACCAAAATTTTTGGCACACAGGCTATTCCCATCATCGAGGTAAGAGTGAATTTCTCTATGACAGTGCATGTCTGATTATAGTGAATTTCGCATGTCTGATTATAGTGAATTTCTTGGTAGTCCCTTTCTTTAAGTATTCTGTTTTAGTGAGTTTCTCAAATATTGACCTTGTATACTCTTGAAAAGAAGTTTACCTTTTGGTCAACACACCTTTTCACTTTTCAGTACCGTTATTTCTTATGTGCATGCATGCCATCTTTTCAAGAGAACAAACAAAGGTGTTTTGCAACCCCTTGCCTTTCTCTGGGACCACCTCTCTGCTTGCAGTGCACATTACACATTCCAACAGTCCCACTTCCTGGAACTCATCACATGGCTCCACATGCTTGTCTGCATGACTGATATCTCGAAGTAGTAATGCATTCTTTCTTGAGTTGTCAGCTTATCACTGTTACTGTTATCACTTTCTAGGTCTGTTAACCTCATCTGGATATGTACAGTTATAATATTTGTTTGTTCCTGGTATGCTATATTTTCCAATTGCATTACAATCCCCAGGCAACAGAAGTTTATTTTTCTTTTGCACGCATATATATACTGGTTTTGATTTGATCCAAGTAATAAGTTTATAAAGAAATCTTCTTGATTTAACTTTTAGGATATTTAAACTCAAAGCTGTAAATGTTGATGAATATTGTATGAGATTTAGAGAAACATGCAACAAGCTTTTTTATACATTTTGCTGCAAATATGAGTAAATTTACATATTCTATGGAAGTACCAGTGTGCTCATTCAGATAGAAGACCTTGTGCTCAATTCTGCATCCTGCAAGGATCCCTTATATCTGTTCTTTAATTTTATTTATTTTTACTTACCACCTGTAACAATATTTCTTATTGTATCAGGTTCTCAATCTGGTTAGACAGCAAACTGAGACTACAAACTGATCCTATCCTTATCCTAGAGTATTTTCTCTGGCGGCATGGTTATGAATATGCTATTTCCAATCACTATGATCGGCATTGTGTTTGGGAGGAAGTAGCACAAAATAAAAAGCTGAACAAGTTCAATCATACAATAATTGATCAGCAATTTGAGTTTTACCAAGCAGATGGACTGACAAGGTTCAACCCATCAGATCCCAACAAGCTGCTACCAAGCTGTATGCTCTATTACCTACTAGTATTGATATTACTGTATGAGTTCAGTGGACCTAATAATTTTCACTTTCTACAGATGTCCCTGAAGGCTCTTTTATCGTGAGAGAACACACACCAATGTCCAACTTATTCTCTTGCCTGTGGTACAATGAGGTTGATCGTTTCACACCCCGTGACCAGCTCAGCTTTGCATATACATACTTAAAACTAAGAAGGATAAATCCTGACAAACCATTTCGTCTCAATATGTTTAAGGTGGGTACAGTTGTCCAAAGTAGCTAGTTTGAAAATTGCAAGCCTTAATCATTTTGAATTTAATTGATGATGTTTGAGAATTTATTTTGTTATTCTACAATTTTTCAGGATTGTGAGAGGCGATCAATAGCGAAGCTATTCCATCATCGATCAGAAGAGAGACACAGTGGTGCACAACTAACAAGATGACACATCCTTCCAAGTAATGGGGGGCAGAAGAGAGAGATCAGGGATTGTATTTTTGATATAGCTCAGCTATCCACAAGACTGTCTCCATTGAAACTTTATGCCCCTGTAGAGGTGTTTATACTTCATATAATGCAAGCCATCTTACACTTGTCACTCTCCAGTCCTGCAGGCCAGTTCCCTGCCTTTCATTTTTTGCAGTTGACATAGGCGGATTAGGAGTTTCTAGCTGTTTGGTTTTTCATTGTTCTCCGTAAAGCTCTGTTTATTCTTTGTCTTTGGATAATATGGCCCATGGATGATTTGGGGAAGCTATGGCTATTGGCTGGGCATGGACTTCCCAGATTCTCCATGCACAATGTATTATTATACCACACAACTGTAGGACTGTGTAGTGAGGCCATGATTCTCCTGCAATTCTCTGTGGTCTTACTGAAGTGTACCATATAATAGGAAACTGCAGTATGTAATTTCCTCCAGGATAGTAAGTCACCGATTTTTGGCCTGACTTTTTGAATTTTTCAATCCTCTTGTGTACGTTTGATCTCTGAACCTCTTTTCACTTTACAGCCTTATGTACGAAGTATGAAACATGCGATGTGTGTTTACCTAACTAGTAACATTTACATTATGTGGTGGAATAAATAACTGAATTGCCAAGTACTTTATTCTCACATAATAGCAACCTGTTGTATGCAAAAGAATTCATTTCTGACAGACTGTAGTATTTAGTAGTACATGCAAAAGAATTTCATTTCTACAAAGTAGTAGTACATGCAAAAGAATTCAGTAGTACATGCAAAAGAATTTCATTTCTGAGTTTCTGACAGACCAGAGGAAACGAAAACAAATCTGCACATCTACATACACATGTCAACACTGAAGATTTTTTACATTTCTACACCACTAGCAAAACAAATCCAACTAATCAAACAGAAATCAGCATAAAGCCCGGCCAGCATTAATTCTGAAGACCTCCAGCCTGCACAAGGTAAATTAATGGATTGATCCAGAGGCTAATCTAAAACTCACCTCATGGTCAGGTTAGAGCCTTGTCTCTGAGGATCCCCAGCATCTCATTCCTTCCCCTGATCACCTCATCAAACACTTCGTCAAGAACACAGTCGAACATCTCCACGCCTTCCCTGAGCTCACTTGACCGTGCCCTAAGCAGCTCTTCCTGCTGCTCGCCACCGTTCACCTTGCCGTTGACGAGGTCCCGCACCGCCATGGCGACCTTCTCGTGCTCTGCCACAGCCGCAGGGCTCGGGAACCGGGCGTGGATCAACGACAGCGATTCGCACCACGGCTCCAGCTCAGGCGGGACGACGTCGACGTCGACGGCGGAGGTGATCGTGGGCCGGACGCCGCCGTTGTTGACGACGGCGGCTGGTGGGGCGGTCAGAGCCTGGAGCACGAACATGGACAGGATGGAGGTTGTGATCTTGGCGACGAGCGTGACGACGACCATGCCGCCAGCGTCGTCCCCGCTGGCGTCGGAGACAATGATGGCCCTCCCCAGCCGCTCCGCCTCGGCCACCGCTGCCTTCGCGTCCGCCATCTTGTCGCCGAAGGCAGCCGACGCCGCCACCTGGGCGTGGCATGGATCGTCGACGACCATGCAGTAGCGGTGCATCCGCGACAGGGCGGCCTTGAAGGCGTTGCAGAAGTCGAGCAGCGCCGCCGTCTCCTGCATGTAGTGCTCGAACCAGTCCCCGGCGGCGGCGCCGGACGAGGAGACGGCCACGGGCACGTCGGCCTTCCTGAAGATGGCCAGCATCTCGCGCTGCATCCGCTTGACGAGCCGCATGGCGTCCGCGCACCACCGCATGGACACCGTCCCCGACTGATGATCAACCTCCAGCGTGCTCTCGAGGTGCGCCAGCCCCTCGACGAGCGAGGCGCAGAATGCGGCCGTGTCGCCGCCGAGAAGTCGACATCGCCGGCGACTGCTCGGCCTGAGGCGGCACCTTATCCTCATGCCCATGCCCAATTGCCCGTGCTTATGCATGGCCAAATACCACTGTTTGCAAGGCTAATCCGTCCACGGATATATATCTACATATCCATGTCCACTTGTTCATGTGAGAGGCTGAGAGCAGCTGAAATCCAACAAAGGGCTATTGAGAAGCTGCGTGCATGTTTGCAAATGGTGGTGGCTATAGGTTTCTTGGAAGAGTAGGGAAGATCATTTCAAAGGGGGAGGGAGGAGGAAGGAAGTTGAGGAGTGAAGCAAGAGGAGTGGTGGCATGCTATTCTAACTCTGCACCTGACATAGCTTGCTTTGCTTGGCCTTGCACATTCCTTGGTCTTGGCATGCATGGTTGTCAAGAGGAGGTTGGGTGTTTGGACAAAACTCACCAAACAAACAATTTGGGGGGTTTTGGACAGGTTGTTCAGATGATGTGGACGTGGCAACGTTATTAAGATATGGATTGACTTGTAAAGATATGCTTCAAGGGACCCTCATGCATACATGCATGGGGCCCTTTCTTTGTGTTGGGTGGCTTGGGATTTTGAGAAGGAATGTAGTGAAAGTGCAGCGCTGTCGCTGAGAGAGGGCCCATATGGATGCACTTTTGTCGTCGCGATTATGCAAAGGATTCAGTACTGATTGAAACTTCATTCAGAATCGATCGTCTCATTGCAGTGTCTTTGTCATATATACAGTGATCGTTCTTTTTTATTTCTTTGTAAAAGCCTTTAGGCCCTGTTCGCTTGGAGAAATCTGGAGAAATTTGTGAGAGGGTGAACAGTATTTTTCATAAACAGTGTTTTTCCGGCTGAAATTCAGGCAGCCGAACGGCCCCTTAGTCATTTTCTTTTCATGACTGTTTTTTTTTGTCAAATACATATGAAGTTGATCGACTAAGCCCACACTCAATAATAGTCTCTTTTTCTACTCCGTCGTCCATAAGAGCGGAAAATGGATCGGTCTGAATTATCTGAATTTATATCCACCAAAACATGAATATTTATAGATAAATATTATATTTACAATGAGTGATCTTGGTCTTGTATGTGTTATATACAATATACTCATAAGTCTTGTATGTGTTATATACATTATACTCATACTTTAATAATCCTTATTTGTATGATGATTTTGTTCCTTGAAAACCATCAATAAAGTAATTGAATACTCCTATTGCTATCGACTAAATTGAAATACAGACTTTATATTATCCAAATTTGAATTCACATGTGACCAATATAACAATATCCAAGCATATTTGACCCAAAATTATAGCTCACTTTACTTTTGTAGCTTTACGATGGAATTAACCCTCTATTCTAAATTATAGTTCATTGTACTTTTGTACGAAGTCAAACTCATTTAATCTAGACCAATTTTACAAAAAAAATTACACCGATATCAAATTAGTTTCATTAATTAGAACATTTCTATGCATTTACTTGAACTTATTGCACTAGTAGAGAACAGACCTTTGATCCTCGGCCAAAATGGGCTCTAGTCCCAGAATTTTTTGCGCCCAGGACTAGAAATACCTTTAGTCCCGGTGGTGTCTCCAACCGGGACTAAATGTCCCTCGCCCAACTCTCATCGCTGACAAGGTGGCGGTGACCTTTAGTCCCGGTTGGAGCCACCAACCGAGACTAAAAAGCATACTTTTTACTCCCGGTTGGTGGCTCCAACCGGGAGTAAAGGTCTCACTCCCGGGCGTGGTCAGCCCCGGGGTTGAACTTTTAGTCCCGGTTGAGCACATTATTCCCCTTTATATCCCGCCATCTCCTTCTTCCTCCCCAAGCCCGAGCTCAAAGACATTTTGAAGCTTCTTGCACTAGTGTTCTTGCTTCCTCCCTCCCTCTATTGTTCCTCCATCCATTATTCGATTCCTCCGTCGATTTCTTCGATTCCTCCGTCGATTCTTCAGTTGTAAAGGTTACCAATCTCATACTCTCATTTTTCACCATTGTCTTATCTCATTTTATTCACTATATATGTATATATGGTTCTTTATTGTGGTTTTTTCATTTGTAAGCAATTTGAGTTCAAAATCACTTCAAGCTTGCATATTTACATGAAATAAGGTTAAAGTAGCTAGTTGAACTTGCGGACTGTGTTCATCTCGGCGAGCACGTTCTCTGCCGAACGGTAACGGACGTCAAGGAGGAGCTTTGATTCTACGAGGGAGAGCGGCAACGGTCGTGGAAGACCGTGTTCCCTTCCTCGTAGAATTGGAGCTCTTCCGTGGCCAAGTACGGTGCCGTCCGGTGGAGAAATGCTCGCCGAGATGATTACGTAAGCAAGGTCAACTAGTACGGATGGTTATTTATTCACATGTCCTGATATCATCGTAGTAGTCTGTCAATCACCGTACCCAAACGTAGTATATATATAAATATAAACTTAGAAAATAGTTAGAAAATTATAGAAAATCCATACTAGTTGAACTTACGGACCGTGTTCATCTCGTGCGAGCACGTTCTTCTCTGCTGAAGCGGTAACGGACGTCAAGGAGGAGCTTTGATTCTACGAGGAAGAGCGGCAACGGTCGTGGAAGACCATGTTCCCTTCCTCATAGAATTGGAGCTCTTCCGTGGCTAAGCAATGCAGTGCCGTCCGGTGGAGAAATGCTCGCGAGATGATCACGTAAGCAAAATCCAACTAGTACGGATGGTTATTTATTCACATGTCCCGATATCGCCGTAGTAGTCATCATCAATCACCGTACCCAAATGTAGTATATATATAAATATAAACTTAGAAAATAGTTAGAAAATTATAGAAAATTCATACTAGTTAAACTTGCGGACCGTGTTCATCTCGGCGAGCACGTTTCTCGCCGAAAGCGATAACGCAGACGTCAAGGAGAAGCTTTGATTATCTGAGGGAGAGCGGCAGCGGTCGTGGAAGACCGTGTTCCTTTCCTCGTAGAATTGGAGCTCTTCCGTGGCCAAGTACGGTGCCGTCCGGTGGAGAAATGCTCGCCGAGATGATCACGTAAGCAAGGTCAACTAGTACGGATGATTATTTATTCACACGTCCCGATATCGTCGCAGTAGTCTGTTATGTGTGTACACTCCCATTCTTCTCGTTAATTTGCGGAAATATCATGTGAATTACTTACTGCCCGCCGATAAAAAGACGAAACACAATGACCATTAAAAATATCATTGTTTAGAGATCTAGATAATTTTATAGTTTCTTAATTTTATTTGTTTATAAAAGGAGAAATTTATAGTGTATTAAAAATGAGTATAGAGAGTAGATGGCAACTGCTTCTTAGGGTCCTCGGCCTCTCATGGGTTTCAAAAGCGACTTAGGCGGGCCTCCTCTCTCATTCCATGCGGCAAGTGTCGTGATGAGACGAAGATTGTGATGGAGTACCGAGTGAAGAAGGAGGGTCCCAACAAGGATCGTATCTTCTACAAGTGTCCGGATCGCAATGTGAGTTATTTTATCGTATTTAATGATTATGGTTAGTTTATACCTATTTTCATGATGGTTGTGATTAAAGTTCTAATTTTTTGTTTTAATTTCAGTGGGATGGCAGTGGATGATGTTCAGGCTTCTACTGGGAGGAAGAGTATGTTGAACTCGTGCAAAAATATCTTGCACAACAGGCAGATACGAGGCTAATGAGGTAGTGATCCAGCCGAAGAAGTCCAAAGATGTTGCACAATCGGGGGATCTGTCTGTTTTAGTTGAGATTGGTCGTGAAATCCTAGTGCTACTGAAATGTATTTTAGCTTTAGTTCTTTTAGTGGTAGTTGGGATTGTCTACATTGTAGCGATGCTTTCATAAATTTGTATCTTTTGTGGTGGCACGCATGTTGTATAAATAATTAATTATGATCTAGGTTTTAATATGGTATTTATGTCATGTAATGCAGATGAGCCGTCATTGGATGTATAATGTTGATCGCCGCTCCCAAGAGTTCATTGACGGCGTGCATTCTTTGTTACGTGCGGCCGAGGCAAATAAACGCGACGGTTTCATGTGATGCCCATGTGCCATATATAAGAATACGGTAGAATATCCTTGCTCAAGGACTCTTTATTCACACTTGTTCAAGTCGGGTTTCATGCCAAACTATATTTGTTGGACAAAGCACGGAGAAACCGGTGTTGTAATGGAAGAAGGTGAAGAAGAACAATGGGACGACGATGATATTATTCCCGATGATGCGTGCTTGAATGATACCGCAATGGGAGAAGTCAAAGAAGAGGTAGCCGCAGAAGATGAGCCGGTGATGATCTTTCTCGGGTCATTCGTGACGCACAAAGAGAATGTGAAAGTGAAAAGGAGAAGATCAAGTTCGAGCGGATGCTAGAAGATCACAAGAAATTGTTGTACCCAACTTGTGATGCGAGACGAGAAAAAGTTAGGAACCACACTAGAATTGCTGCAATGGAAGGCAAAGAATGGTGTATCGACAAAGGATTTGGAGAGTTACTAAAATTCAAAAGAAGATGCTTCCAAGGACAATGAATTGCCCGCCACTACCTCTGAAGCAAAACAAGTTGTCTGGGTCCTATGGGGCTAGAAATAGAGAAGATACATGCATGTCCTAATGATCGCATCCTGTCTCGTGGCAAAGAGTATGAGAAATTGGATGCATGCCCGTATGCCATGCGTCATGATATAAGATCGGCGAGATGACCTGGTGATGTTGAGGGCGAACGTCCGCGGAAGAAAATCCTGCCAAGGTTATGTGGTATGCTCCTATAATACCACGCTTGAAACGTCTGTTAGAAACAAAGAACATGCAAAATTGTTGCGATGGCACAAAGAAGACCGTAAGGTAGACAATATGTTGAGACACCTGCTGATGGGTCCCAAAGGAGAGTAATCGACGAGAATTTCCCGAGTTTGCAAATGACGCAAGAAACTTAAGGTTTGCTTTAAGTACGATGGTATCAATCTTTTGGAGAGCGAGCAATGAGTCATAGCACTTGGCCCATTACTCTAAAGTATCTACAACATTCCTCCTTGGTTATGCATGAAGCGGAAGTTCATTATGATGCATGTGCTCATCCAAGGC